CAAACATTTTCAGAATCTCAGTTTTCTTGCATCGAACAAGATAATTATTTAATGAAGTTTGGTTTCACTGACACAGCTGCTGGTTTTATAGGAGGTTGATGCGAGAGCGTAAGTGGTGAAGATGATGACTTCGTGACTGAAGAGTTTTTAAGGTTGTTCTCATTCCTTCACTGAAACAGATCTTTAGGCCTTTTATCATTTTAAAATGAAAAATGTGGCAAACAGGTTTATTTATCAGCTTTATTCTCAGTTTAAAATTTAGAAATCAGATATGATATTTAAGACAGAGACCGACAGCACAATGAAAGAAGCAGATAATCATATTTGAACCTACATGATCAGAGATATATAATGTGAACATTTCCAACAAAAGTAAAGCTCCTGACCTGTGTAATATAAACTGGAATACCAGTCAAACAGAAGGATATAAACCACCTATACAACCAGGAACATTTTAACCCTCTTAGGTCCACAATTACACCTTTTCATTTTTTAATACCCTTGTGTTTTTCCTAATAAAATTGTTTTTTTAAAAGTTTCAGCAAGTACTGCACATATTCAGAATCAGCACAACCTCAGCTAATAATAAATGTAACTCAATAAAGACTTCTGTAGGTATAATAGAGGTTAATAGCCCAGAAAACAAACAAACAAACAACTAAAGACAATGTGTATATAGCTCCTAGGCCTAAACCATATAAGTTGTCAACATATGTAGACACCTCAAAAATACTTTGAATGAAACCTGAATATTTGTAAAACATTTTATCTTCAAATACAACATTGATTCCTAAAATCTAAAGTAAAACTGAATATAACCAGCTCTCAGCACGATAATGTTCTACTGTATTTAATGTCTGTTTATTCAAAGGAAGATGTTTGGGGATTAAACTGCTTCTTCTTGCTGTTGCTTGTGTGTGTGTGTGTGTGTGTGTGTGCGCAGGTGTTTTTAAGGCCCTTTAAGGCAGTTTTAAAGCATGATGTCAGTTAGCCAATCAGAGATGCATGATGTCATCAACGCTATCAGGCTCGGTGCTTGTGACCCCGATGCCTGTGGTCAACCAACGCTGGACGAGAGGAGAGGCAGCTGCAAGGGAAGACGGAGAGCCGATTAAACCAAAACCCAAACTGCATGTATGTACTGATTGGTTTTGTTGTTGTTGTTATTGTTGTTTGTCCTCACCTGCAGCCTCTTGTTGATGTTGTTGTCTTTGAGCTTGTGTTTGTCTATCCTGACTTCTCTCCCTTCCCGCCGCTGAGATCGACAGCGCTGCCATCTTACAAACACTGATTCGCTCCTTGTTGCCTCCAGTTCCGCTGCCGGTGCTCCTGATTGGCCGGTCGCTGCTGCTGATGACCCTCCCCCCCATGCTATTGGTTCTTCCTGACCCAGAGGAGCTGCTGATCCTTCCTCCAGCTCGGCCACTGATTTTGTCGTTGCTACCTGGGCCACTGAGTTTAGACCCACTCCCAGCACTGCTAATGCGATTCCCACCTGCTGTTGAGGTGTTCAGCCATCCACCGCTGCCCCCGCTGAGATTCATCCTCCCCCCCGGGCTCGGGGCTCTTTGGCTGCTTGTTGTCCTCCCTCCAACTGTTCGTCCTATGCTCCCTGCACTGCTCCTCCGTCCGCTAGCTGAGCTGTAAACAGGTTTCCATTCACCACTACCAGTGCTAGTCGGTCTTCCAGAGCTGCTAATCCGGTAGCTGCCAGGTGAGCTACTGAGTCTGCCACCGCTACCTGAGGTACTTAACTTCCCACCACTTCCTACACTGTTACTGCGCCTAACAACACTACTTGAGCTGAGCCTGCCGCCACTCCCGGCACTACTAAGTCTTGGTCCACTACTTGTGTAGCTACTTGGTGGACTGATCACTAGGCCATCATTAGTGCTGGCTCTGTCTTTGCTACCAACACTACTCAAACGTCCACTACTCCCACAATAAACTCTCCACTCCCCACTCCCTCCACTGCCAAACCTTCCTCCTTGAGCAACTGGTGGGCTTGTGGCTAGGTGTGTGACCACTGACGGGCTGTCTTTGCTCTCTGCATTGGGTAAGCTATCGCTGACAGCTATACTGCTCATATGTCCAGTATTCCCACCATAAAATTTCCACTCCCCACTTCCTCTGCTGCCAAACCGCCCAGCCCCTGGTTGACTTTTTGCAGGGAGCATAGCCACTGAGTGGCTTTCCTCACTCCTTGTGCTGGGTAAGCTAACACGGTTATCCACACCGCTCTTATGTTCAAGACTGCCACCATAAACCACCCGCTCTCCACTCCCTCTGCTGCCGAATCTTCCTGTTTCTGGTGGGCTTGTCACAGGGTCTGTGGCCACTGATGGGCTATCTTTGTTCCCTTCACTGGGTAAGGTAGTGCCAGCATCTACACTATTTTTACGTCTAAGACTACCTCCATAAATGATCCACTCTCCACTCCCTCTACTACCAAACCTCCCTGTTTTTGCTTGGCTTGTCACAGGGTCTGTGGCCACTGACGAGCTTTCTTCACTCCCTGTGCTGGATAAGCTCAGTCTTCTATGTCCAAAACTGCTGCCATAAACCATCCACTCTCCACTGCCATGCCTAAATCTTCCCTGTACTCCTGCTGTAGCAGCTTCAGCAGTACTGCTGACTGTACCTGATGAATTCGGAGCTGTGCCACTAAAACTAGCTGTAACATCACTAGCCATACCACTGTTGCTAGCAACCATACCTCCTGAATTACTAGCCACAGTGCTACCTGTACTTGCAGTCCCTTTTTGGTCTTCTGAGCCATACCGGCCCGCCGGACTGACATTTGAACTCTGGACATCCTTGTTATCTGCATTGCTGCTCATATCTTTGTACATGTCTCTGGGACTTCTTGCATCTCTTACACTTTTCTGATACAGGCCTCCAAAACCAAGCTGCTCTTCTTTATCTGCTATGACACTACGACCACCTGGACCTCCAAACTCCAACCTTCCAATACTGTTGCTCAGCTGAAGGTCACTACCAGTACTAGCAAGAGTATCTGTACTTCCTTCTTTACCTTTGAATGATGCACAAGACAAACTCTCCCCATCTTTCATTGAGATGGTGACTCTTCTATTTCTGTCCTCGTCTAGCAAAGCTTGCTCTCCACTGAATGACAAGGACTGGCCTTCGTCTTTTGTTGAAAGGATGTATTTCTCGACTGGTCTTACGTGTGTATTTGCCTCAGTTAGACTCAGGCATGATTCCTCGTCATCTTCTTCGTCATTTGGACTCAGGCACTCCTTAGTCTCGACTGGACTCAAACATGTGTCTGACTCATTTGGGCTGAGATACATTTCTGGGTCATTTGGACTCAGAAGTGAATCAGGACTTTTAATGCGGTCTTCTATATCAACTGGGCAAAATACATGGCCTGACATGCTCATTAACACCTCTGTCTCGACTGGACTTAGACATACTTCTGGACTCAAGCATGCAACTGTTTTTGTTGGACTCAGGAATACATCTGTTATTGTTGGACTTAGAAGCTCTTCAGGGTCAGATGAGCTCAAAGCCACACCAGAATCTGTTAGACTTGCAGATATTTTTGACTCTGTGGTACTCAACAATGCTTCTTGAATTTCTAGATTCAGTGACTCAGTAGGAGCCACCTCTACCTCATTGGTATCGGTATTGGTATCATGGAAACTGTTGACTACCTTCTCCTTATTCATTTCTAACTCTATTGTCTTCAAAATATCTGTACTTTCTGTAGTTTTACTCTCAAGGTTGTTGTTGCTGACTGGGCTACTTAATGAAGCAGTTGCAATGGTGGACCCTGTATCTGCATCCTCCTTGACTTTGTCTTGTTTGTTGTTGGATGTATTGGACAATGCCGAATTCTCGACAGGCAAAGCACCTTCTTCTATTATTTCTTTGTCTTCCTTCTTTACTTGCCCTTCTACATCCTTGTCATTCATCAGCGTGACTTCACTGGAGACCTCCTCCTGAACCCCCTTGAGGGCAATCTCATCGCTATCCCTGTCAGTTTCTGATGTAGTCTCCAACATTAAAGGCATAACCTGTACAGAATCTGGTTTCTTAGCTTGGATGAAGTCATCAACGTTATCTGTTTGAGGTAAGATCATTGTTTCTTCCGTTTTCTTGCTGGGATCAGATGTAGCTGTCTGCGTTACAAAATGTGGCTCCTGCTTTATTTCTGTTTCTGCAACAGGAATGGTTTTGGTGATCTCTGTTTGAATATGTGTCCCTGTTTTATTAACCTGTGAACTTGCTTCTTTGGTAGTTTGATTGGAAGTAAATGTCTCTGGTTTAGTTTGAACACCAGCTCTCATGGTGGATTGTATGTCAGGAACCATTGTGATTCCTGTTGTTGCCGGATTTATCTCCACTTTAGAAATCTTGACGACAGCTTCTTTGTCTGAACCTTGGCTAATCTGACCCACATTGATGGATTTCCTAGTGGTTATTTCAGGAACAGCTCCTGTTCTCAAGTTTTCAGGGTTGGAGAATGAATTGGCCAGATTTGAAGTGTTGATCGATGTCAGTGGTGAGTTCTTTGCATCTTTACTGTGGACCCTGATTGACTGGTTTGTGATCACTGTTTCTGAAAGCGGGGTAACTACAGGCATTTGTCTGACAGTCCAGGTGTCTGTCATCTGAAGATTTCCTTGCTGAACACTGACTACTCTGCTTGGCATGACTTTCCCAGAGGCGGTGGGGCTTGTTGAAGCATATGATGACATGATGGTAGATTTGGAGTTTAAGTGAAGACTTGAGACTCTGTCGTGAAATATAAAGACAAGAAGGAAGGTGAGAACAGAGTGGAAACTATTGTTCAAACCACAAAAGCATGAAACAAATCTGGGTAATGATTCAATTTATGGGTCCTTTAATAATTTCATAGGAAGTTTTCTAGAAAGGACAATGGACTTTAGTGCTAATTATAGCGTGTAACAGGTTTAAGAGTTAAAGCATTGCTTTAAACATGGTCCTGTAAGAATGTATTCAAGTTAATGATGTCAAACACTGAAAAGGTCTTCGTACCCCTCTCGACTCAGTCCGTCCAGCAGCCTCTTGTAGTCTAGTATCTCAGTCTCCAGCTTGTTCTTGATGTCCAGCAGGACGTGATGGTCTGCAGCCTGTTGAGCTGCAGCCTGTAGTGCTGAGTCCAAGTCTCTGCACAGACCGTCTGCTCTCTGCTGCAGGACCACCAGCTGCAGGACGAAGGACTCAGCCTGCTCCTGACCAGAGTCCTCCAACAGGATGTTCTACACAGGCAGAAAGATATATGATGCTGCATGTTAATGTTGTATGGAGGATAGTCTGTCTGTCACAGCTTTATTGAGAACTTTAAAACATCAAGATCTGTATTTAAGAAATAAATTTGCACCGGTACTCCAGCTTCCTCCCACAGTCCAAATAACACTTGCTGGTTTAGGTTAAATGGCGACTCTAAATTGCCCATACATGTGAGCATTAACGATTATGCGTCTCCATATGTCAACCCTGTGATAGACTGGCGATCTGCTCAGGGTTGACCCCGCCCCCACCCAAAGTCAGCTGGGATTGGCTACAGCAGGATAAGCGGTGTGGATAATGAATGAATGCTGGATATAACTGCACAATAATGAGTCTTCTGTGTGAAGAGTCGCTGTGAGCAGGGTTTGAACCTGCGCGGGGAAACCCCATTGGATTTCGAGTCCAACGCCTTAACCACTCGGCCATCACAGCCCACACCCTGTAATTTAGTCAAGACAACATCACATTGAATTATGAACTCCCCTTTCACATAAACATTTTCAAAAATTTAATCTGAGTTGCTGAGTAAATGTCTGACTTATGTTTTTAAATCCAGAATCTGTAGAATTAGTTTATCCTTACTTTGGCACCATCTGGTGGTAGAATCAAGGAATGGCCGAATAGAAGAAAGTAGCAGCATTAATTTAGAGGTCTGTAGAAATATAAGAGGGGCGGAAGTAAAGGACTGAGAAGGACACTAAGATCACTTGTACGCTGCGAGCAGGGTTCGAACCTGCGCGGGGAAACCCCATTGGATTTCAAGTCCAACGCCTTAACCTCTCGGCCATCACAGCGCTCTCCATGTGGATTAGAAAATGATTGGTCCTGGACTTTAGACCTGGACCGGGCCATCAAATTTATATCTTTATATATTTTTAAGTTTTAAACCAATCATAACCAGTAGTGAACATTATTGGTCACTCAGGTCCTTCAGTGTATAAATTAGATTAAAACAGACAATATCAGCTAAAGTAGGAGTTCAAGTCCGGACTAAATAAATCCTACATGGGTTGGTGAGAATGACTCTAATATTCCTTCATTTTTGATCCAATCCAATGGTACGTAGGAATGCATGCACCTGTTGAACATACACAGCATTGGTTTGTGAATAAATTAACGGCTTGTTGAGTAATCTGCATGGAAGATCGGCTCCCCTGGGACATCTAAACATCAGCTGAGCGCTGTGAGCAGGGTTCGAACCTGCGCGGGGAAACCCCATTGGATTTCAAGTCCAACGCCTTAACCACTCGGCCATCACAGCTCCATCCAGGGGATGTGGAAAATGATTGGTCCTGGACTTTAGACCTGGACCGGACCATCAAAGAGCTCCCAGCAAAAAAAACCTATTATTATTAATTTTTTAATTTATATGTTTTAAACCAATCATTAACAGTAGTGAACATTAATGGCCCCTCGCCTATCAGGTCTTTTTCTTAAAAGAGACAATAACAGCTTTTCAAGAAATAAAATCCAAGGAGTTCAAGTCTGGACTGAATTAATCCAATGTTAAATATTTGGTGCCATCTAGTGGTAAATAGCCACTTGGAAGGACAAACATTGGTTTGCACATATTTAAATGCCTGTTCAGAATCCTGGATGAAACCAAAGGATGGAGACGTGACATCTTCACATCAGCTGAGCGCTGCGAGCAGGGTTCGAACCTGCGCGGGGAAACCCCATTGGATTTCAAGTCCAACGCCTTAACCACTCGGCCATCACAGCTGCTCCCTGCTCCTGCTACATCAGGTCACCAAAATAAAACCAGCAACTACAGTTTGGGGAATAATAATCATGGTTAATGTAGCACAGTGTCAGACGGAAAGAAGCAACCATACCAACACTGACATCTTTCCATGAGCTCAGCATGAAGTTTCTCATCTAATGCTCTGCCTCTTACTAAAAAAGACTCTTAGGGCTCTCAGCTGTTTTTCATTTGAATGTGAAATAATTCATGAAAAACTTGAAACTTGCAGCCAAAAACAGATCATTTGTACTTTGGCTCAGGACCTAATGTACCACATAACTAAATCTCAGTGAAGAGATGCCAAGGATCATACAGCAGCTGTTTTTCATGCATTTAAAGTTTAGTTATTTCAGTTTTGGACATTTTTATGTTATTTATTTATTAGTGGATATTGCAGGATTACTTAGGGTTTTAGAAGAACCAAGTACCAGATCCCCAGCATGCACTGGGTCCTCATAAACCCTGAGTTTAATCTGCAATTGGTTTATGAAATGTCTAAAAGATGAAGATGCATCACAGACTTCAAGGAGACATCTTCAAATGTCTCGTTTAGTCCAACCAACACCCGAAGATATTCACACATCCTGATATTTGAGAAGCTGAAACCTGAGAAATTGTACATTTTTCTTTCACTGTTTTTTTTTTCTTTCACGTTTTTGCTTTAAAAAAAAAATTCTGAACATGTGCCAATAATTTTTGTGTTTATCGAATGTTTGTGTTTATTGTAAAGTGTGTTGTTCATTCAGGACAGTAATAATAAAGTTGAAGAGCAGCAGTAGTTGTATCTAACCAGGGTCTGCAGCTGTGTCAGCTCTTCCTCCAGACCGGCTGCTGTTCTCCTCAGCTCCACCAGCTCGGCCTGGACGACTTCTGCAGGGTCAAAGGTCACCTCCGGAGAACCCAACACAGACACCTGAACACAACACACCTAATGAAATGCTGTTTAATGCTGTTAAAATCCACTTTTATAATTTCCTCTCTTTCCTTTATTTCAAAATAAGAGCGTGCTGATGTTCTTCTACCTGGGAGTTGAACCAGTGCTCGTTCTGGTTCTTGTCGAGCACCATCACGCTTGCCTGTCTCAGGTCGTCCAGCTGCTGGATCAGGTCTGATGATTCAGCTCTCTGCATCTCTACAGTGACGGCCCCTGACACCTGGGCCAGGAGACCCTGCCGATCCTGTACAGGTAGACAGGAAACATGACGTAGCTGCAGGTGCTTTGAGTAATCCAGGTGAGTAGTTTTATTGTTTTACCTGTTGGTGTTGTCTCTGCAGCTCCATCAGCTGTCCTGTTTGATCCCTCAGCAGACTCTGCAGCTCCGGCAGTTTGTGGACCCTTAGCTCCTCCTCCAGCAGCCTCAGGTTGCTGAGCTCCGCCTCCAGGCGGCCACGATGCTCACGCTCCTTTTCACACCTGTTCACACAGCAGGGGGTGATGGGATATGTCTGCACATGCTCTGTAAGAATGTCGCTCTGTGTGTTAAAGCTGGATTTACCTGGTGTTGAAGTCAAAGATGGTGAGCTCTGCACCGAGCAGCAGCAGCTTCACCTGAGCCTGGGCCGAGAGACAGTCATTGATCTGTAAGTGAGAGAGAGAGAGAGAAAGATACTTTTATATTGTTTCATTTTGTTGTATTTATTTAATTATTCACATTTTGTTTACTGTATCAGAAGTCTCTGTGGTCTCTGGTGTCAGTGAGCTCACCTGGTCCTGCAGCAGGGACACTGTCCTCAGGTGTCCGTCCAGCTCTCTCAGGTCTCTGGGACACTTTCTGTCCAGCTCCTCCTGGATCTGACGCTCCAGCCTCTGATTGGCTGCTTCAAGACACTGAACCTGCATCCAACAATCAAAGGAGACGGGCATTACATTTGATTGCTTAATATCTAGGCCTCTTAGTGCCAGTGAGGGGAAATTTTAATGCTTAAAGCAGCTTAAAATTAAACAGTGTCAAGTTGTAAATCCCTCGTTTTCTTTTTGTATTTTTATTTATTACAATTAGTACCACATAATTTCTTTACAGGAAACGACCAAGGAATTTACTAGAAAATAAAAGTCCATAATTATTTGTTCATTTAAAGGAGCTATTTTTGAGTTTTGCTATTGCTACATAGCTAGCGTTAGCATTAGCAGCAGTTTACTTCCAGTGTAGAAGAAATGAAATTTCTTAACACAACAAATGCTAAAGCTTTCAGCAGAACTGGTAAGTAAATAGCTGTTGATGCTAATGTAAGCTATGTAGCAATAGCAAAAGTTAATAGGTCCTTTAAAGTGTTGACATAAGAATAGTGAACTTTAAGTAAGACTAAGAAATACTGGAATCAGCCAAGAACAACTGTAAAACTTTAACTGTAGATTATATATCTCCTCACAGATACTGAATCAGATCAAATGCAGATCACATGCCGTCAGTGTTCTCAGTTGCTGTACGCGTCAGTCGAGGCAAAACTCCACTGGGAAAAATGCTGTTTTTATGTCCTCTTGCTCTTTAAACAATAATTACATATCATGTGTTGCAGGATCATCACAGAATAAAAAGGAGATTAGAAAATTAACCCTGTACTTGATTCAGTAGATACAACTCCACTGAGAAATCTGCATCAGTAAATAATCTCTGCTCATCTCAGTCTAATCTTTGATTCATAAAACCAACATTGTGCTCAGTCAAGGCAAAACTTTATGGAGAAATCTGATAACTAATATTTCATAGAAGTCTCTTTTTTGTGCTGCTGCTGGATTCATAGGAGAGTAAGAAGGTTTTCACGTTGTCTTGCATCAAAGGATTAAAAACACTAGTACAAGTACAAACAGGAAGTGGAATCCTAAAACAATTCTCAGTACATACAAAACTCCATTGGAACAAGTGCTACTTTTATGTCCTTTTGCTCTTTTCACAATAATGAATCATCATTTTAAAATCTCATTTTGATTTTGGAAGCATGTAACAAACACTGTGCTATAACTCCACTGAGAACTCAGCTCGCTCTTCAAAAAATGATTGATATTCTCTATTAAATTCCAGTTTAATTTCTGTGTTACTTTTCTGCGCTGCTGCTGGATCCATCATGCACATCCTACCTGCTGCAGGTACGACGCCAGCCTCCCGTTCAGCTGCTGCAGGGTGAGTTTCTCTCTGGACAAACAGAAGCTCCTGCTGCTGTCTGCAGCTGCATGAGCTGCATGAGCTGCAGCAGCTGTGCTGTAATGCACCGAGACCCCGGGTCCATGATGAAAACGGTAACCCAGAGCCACCTGGGAAGCTCTGCCTGAACGAAGAACTTGCCACGGAGTCATCTCATCCTCTACAGTTTGACTTTCTTCAAAGAATAAAATACAAATGCAGGTTTTTCTGTCTTATTCTGCTGCTGCATGTCTTAATCCCGTCATTCAACTCCCTGCTGTGGAGCTTCCATCATAGGTGTGTCAGGACTTGATGGAGCTCATGTTTAATCTGCATTAACCTTTAAATCATGATTTCCAGAGCAAGTTTCGGCAGGACGGCCCTGCCCTGCAGAGAGATTTAGTGTAGAGTTCACAGAGCACATTAAAATCAGGTTTTCACTTGTTCTGCATTCTGGATCACTGAGTTCTGTGACCTGAGGCCAAGTGACAAGGGTTCAGTTAGAAAAGCTGACGATCAGTTGGAAAATAAAAGCTTTTGTGTGACTTAATGCTTAACCCATGAATGTCAGAGGTGAGCTTAGTAGCATAAGTAAAGTACCTCCAGGACATAGTGATGCATGGATGGATTACTGTACGGGCTGAGAGGTCAGGGGCCCCGGGGGCCACAGCCTGTTAATGAAGTGACTGTCAAGATTTCTTGTTTGACAGCAACTGAACTCAGTTAAAAGACACAAAGTGAAGATTATGTTGTTGTAGATTTGTAGTCTGTTTGAGCCTCGTTCAGTCTGGGGGTCTTGTCAAAGTGGGGCCCATTCATACAGAAAGCCATACATATACATATATATATATATGTGTGTGTGATTTTTTTTAAAATATGTTTTCCCGCTGGCAGAAGTGGAATGTAAATAATACAAAGTAAATTTAAGGTTCTTGTGCTTTACTTGAGTACTTTCTTTTCAAGCAGCTTTATACTTCTCCTCTATTAGATTTAAGAGAGAAATATTTATTCCATATATTATTTCGGCTACATTAACTTGATAGCTGTAGTTAAGTTAGTTTAGTCATTAAGAGTTTCACACATAGAATCACCTTTGAACTTATGATGTATTTGTTCCTGCAAAAGAAAGAACAACAAAAAAACAAAACAAAACAAAACAAAACAAACAAAAAACATATCAAGTCATTTTAGTCATATAAAATATTAACTAATTGCTGTGAAGTCTTGAGTTTTGGCTAAAAAGTGCTTTGTGAGGTCACACTGACCTTGACCTTTGACCTTTGACGACCAAAGTCTAATCAGTTCATCCTGGAGTCCAGGTGAACATGTGTACCGAATGTGAAGGGATTTCTTTGAGGAGTTCTGGAGATATCACATTCACAAGGCCAAAACCATGTTTTGTGAGGTCACCATGACCTTTGACCTTTGACCACCAAAGTCTAATCAATTCATCCTTGAGTCCTAGTGAATGTTTGTGACAAATTTGAAGAAGTTCCATCAAGGTTTTACTGAGATATCAGATAGATGGATAGATAGATAGATAGATAGATAGATAGATAGATAGATAGATAGATAGATAGATAGATAGATAGATAGATAGATAGATAGATACTTTATTTATCCCCTAGGGGAAATTCATGTCCACTAGAATGAGACGGATCAGACAACCAGCTCATTTATCATCGCTGAGGTTCCCGCTCTGTCCAGTAGGGGTCGCTGGAGTGCTCACCGTCTCATCTGGACACAACACACGAAGCAGAACCATCAGCCAATGAGAGGTCCGTGTTTGCCGTCCTCGCGCCTGCGCACTGCAGCTATGATAATTTTGTTGATATGTCTGCCGCTGGGTTTTAATGATTATTTCTGCGGGTTTTAGTGTTTCAGAGAGACTGTCCTCCCGCGGTCCGGCCTGATGGAAAACCCCAGAGACCTGGTGAGTTCTGAGGCGTGTCTGTGTGGCGGGAATCCGCATTTGACTTCTTTGTTGTGGTTGTGATAGCGGTTCACAGCGGCGTTAAAGGTTGCTTCAGAGACAGAAAATCAACACAAAACTCCATTGAGAAATCTGGTATTTTAAGGTTCTCTTGCTGTTCGATTAAAATTGTATACCAAATTAAATATACATTTTAACTGTTCATTAAACCATCAGTGGTACGTTTTATTCGGTATATACATACTGTCCATAGTAGCTTTTAAATCAGTCAAAACTCAGACATTTATAACAGTCTCCTTCCGAAACTCCACTGAAAAATCCTGCGATATTTTCTCGCTTGTTGACAAAGGCACATTTCTCACTGAGCAGCTTTTTTTAATCGTTTACGGAAAAAAAGACAATTTTATTCGGCACGTACGAACTTCACCAAGCAACTTTTCATTCAGTGAAATTTCACTTTTGTTATCGCTCCGCTGCTTTCCCTCTATACCCTCATCTACAGTCACCACGGTGCCCAGCGGAGAGCGGCGCCTGGCGAGGTGAACCTGCCGCACAGCTGTTGTTCCATCAACCGACTGTGTCGCTAGGTGCATTTAAAATTAGCCGAATTGAACGGAGGCGTTAGCCGATCCACAAGCACCCTCGGGTTGTGTTCTGTGGACTTCGTGTCGTTGTCTGCAAGCGAAGAAACTTTAAATGGACAGATTCCTGGAGGGCATCTGGTGTCTCTTGTTGTGGCCGCTGAGTCTCTCTCTCTCTCCGTGTTCACTGTCAGCCTCTCTCTCTCACCGCACTGCAGTGGCGCTGACAGCAGGTTACACGGCTCCAAACTCACTCATACACAACAGTGCAACAGCTGACAGGTTAGCATGGTGCGTGTGTGTGTGTGTGTGTGTGTGTGTGTGTGTGTGTGTGTGTGTGTGTGTGTGTGTGTGTGTGTGTGTGTGTGTGTGTGTGTGTGTTTCAAAGGATAAAGGTGATTCTGTTGAAGGATAAACTACATGTTAGCATATGCACGGTCATGTATGTATGAGATGAGGACAGAAACACCTGAGGAGCTGCAAAGAAACTCCATGCACCTGCACCTGGAGGCGTTCTTGTTTCAAGAATTTGACCCAGTTCTTTCTAAAGCCCGAGTCCAGATGAACTGGGACCCAGTGGTCCTGTTGGAGGGAATGTGGATCAGGATTTGCCCACAGATTCCAATGTTTATGATCAGAGATACTGGACTTTGATATTGATGTGTCATCCCTCTATTTGTACTAATATTGTCGTTTTATCAAATAAAGAGGACGGGAGCCACAGTCCATCAGATGGAGCCTGTGGGGAAAGTTGTTGACCTTTGACCTCTGAATTGTAATTGATTGATTAGGTGAAATTAGCTGCAGCTATTTTCATAAGTGACATATAATAAGTTTAAGCAAAACGCCAAAAACTCCTCAGTTTCAGTTCCTCCAGCGCCTCAGATTTTCATATCTGGACATTGCCTGCAATGAACAATCGATTTCATTATTGATTAACCTGCAAATATTCACATTGAAAAAGCTACAACTAGTGAATATTTTTCACCTTTGCTTCATAAAAGACTCAGTTCAGAAACTTTAGTTCCTTCAGCTCCAGTTTAGTTTCACGCTGCAACTTGAAATCGTTCACTTATCAATAGATTGCAGAAAATTTTTTTGATCAAGCTGTTAATTATTTGATTAATAAAATGTCAGGTAATAGTGAACAGTGTTTTTGACTGATCAGTCTAAACTCATTGATTTACTGTCCGATGAGATGAAGAAAAGCAACAGATTACAACTTACAGAAATAAACATTAGAATAGTTCCTGATTGATTATCTGTTGATTATTTTTCATCTACAAACTATACTGATGTTGAGACTCCGCCTCTCCTCCGCCGACAGGTGGAGCGTCCGTCCAGGAAGCGCCGGGACTCCTTTGGGATGTTGGACGGTTTGGAGGAGGACCGGAGCAGCTGCAGCACCGAGTCCAGCGGGGGGAGCGGAGCCTCCAGTCCAGAGGACAGCGAGGACGAAGAGTTAGGAGGAGGAGGAGGAGGAGGGGGAGGAGGAGGGGGAGGGGTGACTCAACTCACCCCCACCTCCTCCTCCTCCTCCCTGACACTCATCAAGACGAATGGACAGGTGTACACCTATCCTGACGGGAAGGCGGGCATGGGTCAGTATGAGAGTCACAGTTTCAGAGACGGCTCAGGGTTGTGAGGATGGATAAATCAAACGCACACACAGTTCAACAGATCAGCTCAGGAAAAATTATACTTTCAATCTTTGTGTAGAGATGAAAGTTAGATTCTCACAGCTCACACAAAATGTTTTTAAATCTGTGAACTTGTACAACTAAAGAAATCTGATTTCTTGTTCATGATGAGCCCCTCAACTCACACATGTAAAGTCTGTCTTAGTGACACCCCCAGAGGCCGAGAGACACAAACCTCATTCTGAAGGTGAACCAGAACTCACACTGTCGGACACAAAGAGAATCTGTGTTGTGGATTTCTCTTCGAGTTGTGGTCATTTGGAGTCTCTTTGTGATGTATTGAGTCTCTGTCATCTTTTGTGTCTCTCTGTCGTTGTTTCGTTGACTTTCCAACCAGAACTATTGAACGTCACTTGGTACCGAGACTCTGTTCAGTCTGTTCAGTAATCCGTCCGTTATGATCGAGGGTCGAAGCTTGGATCTTCAGATCATTTTTGGTTGTATGTTTAACGTTACAGCAGAAAATGCTCCAACATGATCATCACACGTCATCATTTTCAGTTTAATTAAAAACGATGAAGTACCTGAGAAAAGAGTTTGGGTAAAGACAAAGATGATCAGGACGCCTCAGAGGACGTTACCTGCTCCAACATGGACACAAGCACAGAGACAAAGTAAAGACTGAACAAACTGAACAAAACAAGACGTTTGAAAAACAATAACTGATTAAGTGAAAATAATAATTTACAGAATAGTAACAGATGATTTATTTTTGTTTTATTGTGTAAAATCACACATTTTTTTATCTGCTGCTGCTTCACAATAAAAGTCGCTCTGCTCCCCTCTGCTTCCTGCCTTTCTGTCATCAGACGTTTTACTGTGAATCAGCTTCAGGTTGTTTCTGCATCTCTTTGACTCTGCTGCTGTGACAGGATTTATTTATGCACCATGTAAAAGAGAAAACAACATAAAACTAAACATTACGATCCAGACGCAAACAAGAATTCACCACTACTGAAATAAAGAGCAGCCACAGTTTGCACCTTGTGTCTCAGTTTCCTCGTCTCTCTCTGTGTTTCATCAGCGACGTGTGAGATGTGTGGTATGGTGGGAGTCAGAGATGCTTTCTACAGTAAAACCAAACGTTTCTGCAGCGTCTCCTGCTCCAGGAGTTACTCCTCCAACTCCAAGAAGGCCAGCATCCTCGCCAGACTGCAGGTACAAACTCCAACCATCATGTGTTGTTACTGTAAACCTGTAGAATTGAGGCACATGACCTGTGTCTGTACATGAAAAAGCTTGGTGACGTCCAGTGGTCAATCAGCTGATCCAGATGTGTGTTTGATGTGTGAACAGATATCTGAAATGAAAACCAGGGACAATATATCCAAAAAGAAAAGGGTGGACAGTCTGTTTGTATTGTAATAAACTATAGTGAAGGCTGACTGATAAAAAGACAACTCCCTACCTTTGCAGCAGTCGTGAAGTCCCGTTGTCTGTCTATTCCTCAATTATTTATATTCCTTTACTTTGTAAGAATCCACAGATCAAAAGAATGAAAGGCATTTTTCATAAAAGGTCATGGTTGTCGTGTGAAGTCTATCGCAGACGGTTGGGCAACTTCTTCTTCTTCCAACATAAAAACTGTTGTTAGTTTACTCCGCGGTTATGAGCTCCTAACCAATGAGTGAGCCAGCTGACCTTTTCTCTGCCTAGAGTCAACAAATAAAAGGGGACAGGCCACCAAAAACAGGGACGTCTGGTCACTCTATTAAAGAGTGTGTGTGTGTGCGTGTGCGTGTGCGTGTGCGCGTGCATGTGTGCGTGTGTGTGTGTGTGTGTGTGTGTGTGTGTGTGTTGAAGGGGAAGCCTCCCACTAAAAAGGCCAAGGTTCTTCAGAAACAGCCTCTGATGACTAAACTGGCGGCCTACGCCCAGCATCAAGCCAACCAGCACAGCGGCGTGAAGAAGAGCGGTGAGTCCGGTTCCGCCGCTTCTCTCCAGACTTTTATTGAATTAAATTCACTTTTTCTATTTTTTTAAAACCTGTTTTTATTGAGAATGATTTTCACGTCACATGTCGTCTCTTATACATTTTCCTGTATTCATATTAAACGTAAAAGTGAAACCCACACCTGTGAGTGATTAAACAAACAACCAAAACTCTACATACGTCATCACTCATAGTCATCTGTACACCACCCTCCATTTCCCCTGTGTACATGTACACAAGTACTTCAGTCTTTGGTAATCAAAATATTAAAAATGTATAATTGTAATAAAAGATGAACTAATAATGAATAAAGAATAAAGTGAAATTACAATAAAGTTGATCAATTAAGTAAATAAGAAAAGAAGGAAATAATAATAACGACAATAGAAATAATACTAATAATAAAAAGGAACAAACTCACTCTTAAAGCTCCATGTTTCTTCTTCTGTGTTTTATTTGAAGTGTTGATCCATCAGAAGATATAAAAACCATCTCAGTGTAGTTTTACATCTCCTCTCTCAGGCTTCTCTCTGCAGCTCTAGTAACAACAGGTCGGGGAGGAAATGACTGAAGCTTTTAATGAAACTCAATGTTTGTCAATGATTTTTATTTAAATTCTTTTACTTCTTTATGAAGTAAAGGTTTGGTGGTTGAATTCACAGCAGCAGCAGTAAAGTGTGATCCTCTCTGTAGAAGTCACCTGTGTGTGTGTGTGTGTGTGTGTGTGTGTGTGTGTGTGTGTGTGTGTGTGTGTGTGTGTGTTGTGTGTGTTTGTGCTGTGTGCTGGTGTGTGTGCTCTGTGTCTTGGTGGTGTGCTGCCCTGTGCTGTGTAGCGCTGTGTGTGTGTGTGTGTGTGTGTTGTGTTTGCTGCAGTTCCCGTGGAGATGTTTGACTGGGGTCGTTACCTTGGAGATGGCGATGTGATGGGAGCGCCAGTCAGCTGCTTCAAACATGTGAGTGACACACACACACACACACACACACACACACACACAGGTTCATGTGTTTGCTCCTGCTCCTACAGGCTGGTTGTGAGGTCAAAGGTTACAAGCTTAAAAAAAATCAATATGTGAGTTTGTAATAAATATTATTAAATAACTGAAGATATAAAAATGATCAGAAAATAATGAAGCATAAAAGCATAAAAAGTACCGATGAGGATTCTGACCAACCAGGTCGTCAGTCGTGTTGTTTGGTTGAAACGTGGTTTCTCTGTCGTCGAGGTCCCGATGGGGAGGTCGTGGGGTGACATCAGCGAAGGTGTTAGGGTCGAAGTCCCAAACACTGACAGTGGTCTGCCCATGAAGGTTTACTGGATCGCTGGCATCATTAAACTGGCTGGTACACACACACACACACACACACACACACACACACACACACACACTCCTACACTCCTACACCTCCTGAGTCTCGGCCTCACTGTACTAATGAAATGTTATTGACTGTAAATAAAGATGGACGTCACCCACAGGTTTCTGAAGCTGCACCGTCGCCATCTTGGCCAGTGTCTGGCTCCACCCCTAACTCCCAAGTAATCCAATAATGGTCTAAGAGGAGGGGCATGTGGGGAGCTGAGACTTTGGTGCATGTTGGTTTGTGTCAAGCATACGGTCACCCACCTGTCACTCCAAGAGGCCACGCCCTCAATCCTCCATAACTGTAGTCCTTAATAAAGTGTAAACAGGTGAGTTATATAAACAGGTGTCATGAAGGAGGATTTTAGCTCTAGAGACCAAAACAGTTTCTGTACCAGGCTGTAAACATGTTTATTTCTGCTGTAAAGTTGGACATTTTAACATGGGAGTCTATGGGGACTGACTCACTGTTGGAGCCAGACTCTAGTGGTCGTTAGAGGAACTGCAGCTTCATGTTGATGCTTCATTATTGATCATTGACAATACTTGAGAACAAAAAGCAAGTCTGCAGTTTCTTTGAAACAAAACAAGACTGTGTGTGTGTGTGTGTGTGTGTGTGTGTGTGTGTGTGTGTGTGTGTGTGTGTGTGTGTGTGTGTGTGTGTAGGTTTTAAAGCTCTGCTGCGATACGAAGGTTTCGACAGCGACTCCACCAGAGACTTCTGGTTGAACCTGTGTGTGCCGGACATCCACCCGGTGGGCTGGTGTGCAGCTGGAGGAAAACCTCTGGTCCCCCCCCAGAGTAAGTTCAGTATCAGAGCAGACAGAGGCTGTGAGGTACCAGTCAGTGGGGGTGGGGAGGGGTGTCTTGTGATTGGCTGATGGTGTCCGTCTGTGTTGCAGCTATCCTTCACAGGTTCACCAACTGGAAAACCTTCCTGATTAAAAGACTGACGGGATCCAAAACACTGCCGCCAGACTTCTCCTCCAAGGTCACACACACACACACACACACACACACACACACACACACACATGATTATCAATTTCAATTCTAATTTCAATTTCTTCTAATCTGATCACTTTATGACATCACAATACCAGCATGAGAAGCCTGGTCATACTCTCACCGTCTCCTCGTCCTCCAGGTGCAGGAGAGCATGCAGTTTCCCTTTAAGAAGCAGATGAGGGTGGAGGTGGTGGATAAGACTCACCTGTGTCGGACTCGGGTCGCTCTGGTGGAACAGGTGGGACACGCTGCGCTGCAGGGGTCAGAGGTCGCCGTCCTCAGCCCAGACAGTGGAAGTGACATCATAACCTTTGTGTGTGTGTCTGTGCAGGTGATCGGCGGCCGTCTCCGACTGGTTTACGAGGAGTGCGACGACGGGACGGACGACTTCTGGTGTCACATGTACAGTCCTCTGATCCACAGCATCGGCTGGTCTCGATCCATCGGACACCGCTTCAAACGCTCTGGTGAGTCACAGCTGATCGGTGAGTCACAGCTGATCAGTGGGTCACAGCTGATCTGTTAGTCACAGTTGATTGTTGAGTCACAGCTGATCAGCTGATCTGTTAGTCAGCTGGTCTGGTCTCCTGCTGCTGAGCAGGAAGTGTGAGGTGGCCTTTTACAGATGTCTGTCTGAGAGGCTCGGACTGAACCAGACAGGAAACGTTTAACCCATAAACATTTAGTTTAAAGCAGCTGCAGGTGACTCAGTGTCTGTGTGTTCCTTTCCAGATGTGTCAAAGAAGCTGGACGGGCAGCTGGACGCTCCGGGACAGCTGTTTGCCAAGGTGAGAACGACACACAGCTGGACGTTGAGTTTTTAGTTTTATTACCAGCACAACTACACAGACCTGAGATCAGGTGTGATCAGCCAGAACAGGTGAGAACACCTGGAGCATGGAGGTCCATCCATCCAGACGTCCCTCTCCCCAGCAACGTTTTCCAGCTCCTCCTGAGGCGTTCCCAGACCAGATGAGATGATAATCTCTCCAGCGTGTTCTGGTTCTGTCCTGGGACTTGGACCCAGTTGGATCAGATGCCTGAACCACCTCAACTGGCGTCTTTCCAGATGTCTGTCTCCTCAGCCTCCGAGACTGAGCTCAGACATCTTACAGAGGAAACTCATTTCAGCCAGTCGTACTCACAGTCTCACTGTTTCAGTCACCGCCCACAGGTGAGGAGTGAAACACAGACCGACCAATCAGAAGCAGCGATCCGCCCATCAGTGCTGGAGGTGTTGAGCTTTATTGGTTTGAATGCTGATAGCGTCTCCTGTGTTTCAGGTGAAGGAGGTGGATCAGACCGGCTCGTGGTTCGAGGACGGGATGAAGCTGGAGGCCATCGACCCTCTGAACCTGTCGGCCATCTGTGTGGCCACGGTCAGGAAGGTGAGGACCTGCCCCTGTGGACAGCTGTCAGCCAATCAAATCAAAGCAGCCTGAAAATGTCACGCTGTCATTAAATAACAAATACTCTGCTACTCCTTTAGCTCATCATGCTAACAGTCATTACAGTTGCAGAAACATTCTTCCTCAGTGATGAAGACTCCTCCTCCTCCTGCAGGTCCTGGCTGACGGGTATCTGATGATCGGCATCGACGGTTCAGAGGCGGCGGACGGTTCAGACTGGTTCTGTTACCACTCCATGTCTCCCTCCATCTTCCCCGCCGGCTTTTGTGAGATCAACAACATCGAGCTGACCCCCCCCAGAGGTGACAGCTGTAGACACACCACTCCTCCATCTACAGAAAAACATATGAACTGATTTAAAAAACTCTTAAAGCTCCTCCAGTGTAAAGGTCTGTGTCCATGTGTAGTGTGATTATAGATCAGCTCTAGCTTCTATATTAATACTGTGAAAGTATCAAAGCCTCAGTCCACAGAGAAATGCACACAGCCTGTATTCAGAAACTGAGCCTTAAAACCAGCCGTCAGGACTTCTGGAACTTTGTGATGTCACAACAAAGCAGTCACCAAGCCCCGCCCACCTGGACCCACCATCCAAACCTTGCAGGATTTGGTTTCTCTGAGTGTTTTTACCTGAAATCTGCTATATTTTTATTGGATCACTCAGAAAACAGTCAGCCAATCAGAAGAGAGGCTCAGAGCCTCCTCTCTTCTGATTGGCTCACCGACCTGTTGTTACTAGAGCTCCAGAGAGAAGCCTGAGAGAGGAGATGTAAAACTACACTGAGATGGTTTTTATATCTTCTGATGGATCAACACTTCAAATAAAACACAGAAGAAGAAGAAACATGGAGCTTTAACAGATTTATGTCCGGAGTCCCAACAGTGACTTTTCACTCTGAACGTCTCTCCCTGTCTCTCAGGTTACACCAACCTCCCCTTCAGATGGTTTGAGTATCTGAAGGAAACCAAGTCTGTGGCTGCTCCGGTCACCCTCTTCAACAAGGTGAGACCAAACACGAGAGGCGAAGCAGTCCGTTAATCTGTCAGTCTGGACAGGACGTTAGTTTCACCAATATAAATACTTCCAGCCCAGTCTTCAAAGTTCACGGCAGGTTTACAGCCCCAGAGTTTCATAAGATGTTTTCATTGGGGCTGAACGATATGCACAAAGAATCATATTGTGATCATTTTTGCAGATGTGAGAGTCATGCTTCAGTTGTTGTGACGTATTCTACCTTTATCAGAGAAATTGCAGCTCCTTTGATTTTTATATTGAACTTAATGAGATTTTGATAATATTTTGATTAATTGTTCAGCTCTAGTTTAAAGTGCTGTAAAATGTAAATATTCAAGCCCCCCCCCCCTTCCTCCATCAGGACGTCCCCAACCACGGTTTCCGCCCCGGTATGAAGCTGGAGGCCGTGGACCTCATGGAGCCCCGGCTGGTGTGCGTCGCCACGGTGACCCGCATCGTCCACCGGTTGCTACGGATACACTTTGACGGCTGGGAGGACGAGTACGACCAGTGGGTGGACTGCGAGTCACCCGACCTGTACCCGGTCGGCTGGTGTCAGCTGACTGGATACCAGCTGCAGCCTCCTGCTGTTAACGCAGGTAAAACACACACGCGCAGTACGACTCAGCTCAGGTCAAACCACACGCATCTTCATAGCGTCATGTGACAGGAAGTGTTAAAGGAACACTTCAGCCTTTTAGGAAGAACTCTTATTTGCTTTCTTGAAGATTGACATTGACCTGCAGAAAGACGCTGAAGCAGCGGGTCATCAGCTGTTTCCTCATTTGTCCTCCTGGCGTCACCGTTTATAGAAACCGCAAACTCTCCGAGACTGAACATACTTCAGCCGAGATAAGTTTCCTGGACTCCCGTCCGTCTGCTCGTCTCACCCTCACATTCCTTCTGACACGAGAAGCTCATGGAAACTCTGCTGTAACGTTCATGAAAATCCAAACTGAAGCTGCTGAGACCAAGTCTGCTAATGAGAAGAATCAAATCTAAACGACCTCTCAGAGCCATGATGATGATGATGATATGATTGATTTGAATTTGAATTTGAATTTCAGTATGTTTAATTCTAAATTCATTCAGGTTAAGCCGCTATAATTAAAGATTGTTTTCCACCTGCGAAGAGAGGCCAGAACTAAACAGTAAACATGATAAAAATCCACCTTCAGAGACTCTGCATGTGTTATATGAGGCTGGACAGACAGGGATGGATTCCTGTGTAAGCTGCTGTTTTAGAGCAGAGAATGGATGAACTGATTTTTATCTGGGTGTGAAGATATAAAATGTATAAATAAATTACGCTGTGTTGGATTGTGCAGAGACTTGCGTACCTGCCGATACCCGACACTGTATTTTAGGCAGCATCAGAGGCATTTCTGATTCTTTATCGGAACAACTCCAATTCTAGTTCTAAAAGTCATTAAGAGGAGGTTTTCCACTGGTCACCCACACAGAAATGTAATATATGACATAAATGTCCCCATGTCAACAGTGATGTTTCCATATATCTAGCTAAAATAAATTGTATGTGTTTCTTCAGGTTCCAGAGAACTGCAGTCAGCAGCGTCCAAACAGAGGAAGAAGTCCCAGCAGTACAAGGGGCAAAAGAAAAGTGAGTCTCTGTGTCTGAAACTGAATATTTTTGGGTTTGAGACTGTTGGTCAGAAAAAATAAGACATTTAATTTCCCGACACTCTAGGAAATGATATATATAAATATTTGACTGTTTTCTGATGTTTTATAGACCAAGTGATTAATTGATTAATTGAGAAAATAATTGGCAGATTAGTTGATATTAAGAATATTTGTCAGTTGCAGCCGTAAAGTTATATATTTGGCAGACGATGTAATGATTCAAAGTCCTGGAAACATGTTTTGCTTCCTCTGAATAAAATAATTTCTAGTGTTTTTTATGGATATATTTGGTTTCTTTACAAAAAGCAGCGAAACTGACATTTGTAAGAAAACATCACATATTATAACTTTCAAAAAGAGCCACACCTGAATATTTCCAGCTGTCAGAAACCAGAAACTGAAAACGCTGTTTAACCGACTTTACCTCCATCTCTCAGAGAGGAAGTTGCCCGTTGCCAAGCGACCTGTCAGTCTCTCTGGTGCCGTGGTAACAGGCGTCCCCAGGAACCTATCAGGAGATGAGAACGAGACTCCGCCAGATTACCCATCACCCCCTACACCTGCTTCAGCAGCCCAACCCCTCTCTGCAGACCTAGAGAGCAGCCCTAATACGGAGGGGGGGGCAGGTATTTATATATATGTTATATATGTTTATATTGTTGTGAGGACCCTCATTCACATGAACCTTAACCAACTCAAAGCCTGAACTCAACCTGATTCTAACCTGAACCATAAAACCTTCAGACAGATGTGAAATAGTAGGAACTGCCCAAAATGTTCTCAATACAGAAAGGTAGAAAACTAATATAGAATTTAGCATGTTAGCATGTTGCAGTGGGCGATATATGGAATATACTCCATGTGTGGGATGTAGTAAATCACAATATCACAAACATCGATTTATAAATTGTCACATAACTGTTTTAAGATGCTGGCATGAAATAATTTTTGGCGTTTTGCTCTTTTCGCTCTCTCGCTCTCACAGACACACTCCCCCGCCCATCCAGAAAACTCTCCATGTGTGACGTAGGTGAGGAGGCATGTCGGTCTGTATCTGGAGTGTTGGGCGCCACAGAGAGTTTATCTGGGTTTAGAAACTGTAACTGAAGATGGAGGCAGAGGAGCTGGTTCAGAGACGGCATCAGACACACCGTCTGCCTTACGGGTGCGCGGCAGCTGTGTCACGGGTGCGCGGCAGCTGCGTCGCGCTTGTGCGGCAGCTGCGTCGCTAAAATGCTGCCCTACACATGTCACAAATCATTAACCAGTTATAACCAACATTAAGTTCCTGCTGTGACCATCTAGTTCATGTGTCTCCTCTGTCTCTATATGCAGCTGTTAAAATGGTTAAAAATATAAGTTATATATTTTTTGTGTCGTATTCACATAAAGTGCAGACATTGAAACTAGTCAGTCGTATATAATGTTCCTGGTCTCATATCAGTACGACTCTCTGTTCTCTTGCTCGTCACAGTGAGAAACGGGCGAGATGTTGAATCTGTAGATCACTCAGAGCAGCAGCATAAGAGTCAGTCTCTTTATGCATCAAATGGTTAAATCATAATTTATAAGGTTCTATAGAGGAGAATTTAAAATAATGCGACATATCGTGTATCACGATATAGCCTAAAAATATTGCAATATTATAGTAGTTTTCGCATCAGCATGAGATCGCCTTTTTTGGATGGAACTGAATTCAGTGTTTTATTGTAAAGATTTTTCTGTTTTTTGTCGTTGTGTCACAGAATTACATTTTGAACGGTGTACATTTTAACATGTGGTTGAGTTATGAAAACACTGCACACTGGTCAATGAAAGTGAGATCTCAGCAGCACTCCTGATGTCCTCTCTGTTTCTGCAGGTTCACAGATTAAAGAGGAGAACACTGAAGGGACAGATTTATGTTCTGAAAGGACTGAAACAGAAACCAACGGATCCTCTGGAGATTTCTTCACCAACCAGGACCAGTAGTAGGCCTCATCCATCCCTCACCGCCTTTTACACTCCAGCCATCCATCCCTCTTTTCTAGAGTTTCAAGCCTCGTGAAATCATCTGCTGTGATTAAATCAGTTATTTATTTATTTTTTGGACACACTTTAAACACATTACACCTTCTGATGTTGTCAGCAGTAACAACTTCAGCTGACTGCCCTCTGCACACTGCAGTGATACCACTTCTCTTTAGTCAGAAACCCACTTTTAGCCTGTATGAACACATCAGTGTCCAGTCCTACCGACCCTTCTCCATCTGTCCATCCACAGTTTTTAATCCTCAGTGTTTCCCTCTTTCTCTTGGTGCCCGGTCAGATTGAAATTCATCCGTACACATTCACGAAATTCTAGGTTGTGTTGGAAACTTGCTGATGTTAGTGTAGCTACCAGTTAGGAGCCCTTTAGCAACCGTGCTAGGGTGATTGGGTCAATGATATCTTGTGTTTTTTATTTATTCTTTATTTTAAGGCCAGCAATATTTCTAAAAACTAAATCAGTTCCAAAAATCTGTTTAATCAGAGCTACAGGACTCTACCTGGGAACATGCTAGTGTTATCCAGCCAAAATAGTCTACTAGCTAGCTAGCTGGCTTGCTAAGTTCCTGTTAAAGCTAGTTAGCTCTACACTCCAGAGGATTAACACCAGCCAAAGATTAATAAAAGTTGGCTTAAGTTGTTACATTAAAATATCTTACTCTACTTAAGCCTCTGTTTAGCCACATGACTGTATAAATTGACAGTAAATATTGAAAATCTACAGTCCAAGGTGACGTCTCTACATGTCTCGTTTTCTCCGACCAGCAGTCCAAATCCTATAGATATTCAGTTTACTAACGTGACAAAGAAAAACATCAAATCGTCACATGAGAAGTTAGAAACTGCAAATACTTGACATCCGGTTAACATCTATTTAATCAGAGCTACACAGCTGTAGCTGGGAACATGCTAGCTCTAACCAGCCACAACAGGCCGCCAAACTAATTAGCTAATCAGGATGCTAGCTCGCTAACAGCATGAAATGTAAATACTATTTATTCAAGAAATAATGTTTTTATAAAGATTATTTATGAGCAATTAAAAAAAAAATAATAATGAATTGATGTTGAGCTGAAGATTCACTCATTAATTTGACTGAGCCATCATTCTCATTTCAAAAACTGTCCTGTCATCTCCCTGGTTTTGGTTTTCCCAGGAACAAAGTAACTTTTTACTACACTGATTTCATTGGCATGTGAGGGAAAATGGCGCTACTGCCGTCTGAAGTATCACTACTCACACTTACACGCTTCTGGTTGAGCAAACTGGGCAAAGAAGACCAGAATACAGAAGCAAATGAAGTAGAAAAAGAATGTAAAGGAGGACAGGTGCAGTAGCATTACTTATCAGGACAAAAGGGATCAATGGAGGAAAAAAAGAACACAATGGTAAAACTTTTGTATAATGATTTTTTCACCGCCAAGATCTTTGTTGTTTGTACGTGTTCGTGTGGTGTGTTCGAGGGTCACGACTCCTGATGTAATAGTAATGATACTGGATGCTTCGTAACGTCATGTTGAGATTAGCAGTCATTTAAAAACAGTGTAGGAGTGTGTTAAAGTGTGTGTGAATGCTGGGGTTTGGATTCTGGATCGACGAGCTGTCAGGGCGCTGCAAAACAAGAAACCAGCCAACAAGGACTCGTGGTAGCTACTGTTTTTTTTTTTTTTTTTTTTTTTTAATCACTGCCAAAAGTCTGCAGCAATCAACATTCAAATGACATAATCAATCAGATACAGTATATTGTGACTGTTCAGCATCAGTCTGGCTGAAAGTTTAAAACCAGTTAAATGTGTTTTGTCTATAGAAACATCATCATTACTGAGAAAATACTTTTTTTTCCTTCCAAAAATCACTTTGACTTCAGCCACGTGACTGTAGTATATGCAATAAGTCAATTAACCAATAATCAAATCAATAATTTTCAATACTGGTGCCAATTTGATAAGCTACCTTCCAGGATTAATGCCAAAATATTCTAACTGCTAACAGGCCAGCTAGCCGGGATCATGCTTCACTCCCCCCTCTAGTTAAAAAGGGGGGGAAACTCGTCAAGCTATCTTTCTAGCTAGCTAGCTAACTGTCAGTAAGCTAGCTTGTTAGCTCAGTTACTAACAGAGAAATAAATTCACAGATTATTCAGGAAACATGTTTCTACCATGTGCATCCTAACTGCGTGTGAGTCGTGTCTTGGTTGTGGAGCAGTTTATTTTCCAACAGAGGAGAGTTTTAAAACTGATCTTAGCAACACAGCTAAGTTACGTTAGCTTCCATATCTGCGTCACCAAAGCTGAAAGTAACAGAAAAGTTTAACCAGGATTTAATCTCCCCCCCCCTGCCATAAAATCCACTGATTGTGTTAAATCCTTTTTTTTTTTTAAACTAATGGCACCACCACATTAAACTATAAAGCTTTAGGAAGAACTCTTATAGTATACTAAGGCAAACAGCTTTTGTTTACACAACATTTATTTGGCTGTTTTTTGTAAAATAATCAAAGGGATTGATTAAAAAACTGATCTGCCGAAACTTATTGATTTTTATCTTTACTAATATCAAAAATAAATGTAAAAGTAATGCTCAAATCAAACACAATCAGTTACCACTCAAATAATTTATTTTTTTATTTTACTTTTTATGTGCAAATGTGGGTCACATTTAAAATCCCTGTACAATTTCTTTTAATGAATGAAACAAGAATCAAACAGATAATATCTGCTCAGTGACCAGCAGAGGAGGAATGTGGTTATACTGGGACATTCCCAGTATCTCCAGTATAAAGACGAGTGTTTTTATACTGGGTGTCTTGGTGGTTGAAGGTGGAGAGCTGTGTGAATGTGAAGCAGGGTCCGACTTCCCTCAATACAGAAAAACAGTTCCTACGAGTTAACAGTAGACGAGCAGCTAAAAAGGTTTTATATACGTCTTCACTCACTAACTATTAATACCTCACAAAGATTAAATAGGGATTAAAATAATCTTTAGCATTTAAAAGATGGTAAACAAAATGATATAATAGAGATTGTTTCAAAAACACAGATTGTAAGAGTATATTTGATTAATAGAAAATTGTCATAATAAAGATGATCACATTCTAAAATACTTGATGGTAAACGTATAACACAAAATATAATTTAACAAAAAATATGTGTAACAAAGAAATAGTTAATTTGATTAACTGTTTTTATCCAAGGTTCTGTACCTGGTAGCATCAGTGAGCTATAGGTTCACAAAGAAAAGAGAAACGTATTTCAAATGCTACTACAATGTTAGTATACAAACAAATACTTTGTTTTATTAAATTATTTATGATCTATGAAAGGGCACTGCATTTACCAAAAGCAGTAATTTTGTAATTATAATTATGTTAACGTGCTAAAGTTATAAAGTTGACATGAATCGTAAACAAATGTTAGATGTTAATGTGCTCACCTAACATATCAGGCTGCAAATCACAATTATTTTGATTATAGATTAAGCTGCAGAAGATGAAAATAAAAAGAAAAGATGCATTTTAAAGATTTTTATTTGTGTGGCTGAAGAAAGAGCCATAAAATAAACATGACCCAAATTATATTCTGTTGTTGGTGCTGACAGTAAGAGCTCAGTTTCACATGATGAGTTTAACTTTTTCTCTCTGTGACGTTCAGTGTTAGTTTTGTCTCTTTGTGTAAATCTGAATGTGTCAAAAAGAATGTGTAGAGACAGTAAGATGGCAGTAATGTAATTCATAAATGCTGTGAGTGATTTTTTTTTATAACAAATTTGAATGTGAATATTCCCTAGTTTATGTGCATTTGATTCAAATCACAGCCCCATCCTTTGTGTGTCTGAGGACAACTTGTCAGTAGTCTGTAGTAATGTTAACCACAATCAGAGTCCAACATCATATGTAGTCAAAAAAGGTCCAAGAGCCAAGGGGGTCCATGAAGGTCCCCTTAAGTTTAGCTAATGCCTTTGCTAGTTGATATAGAGTAGTGCAGAAACAAAAAACTGAAGCAACTACAGTGTAAGCGACAATCTAATCTAATTAGTAGTGCTAATTTCGTCAATGAAATCTTTGACAAAAAACCTTTTTCCACAAAAAAACAAATCTGAAACTGAATAAAAACCTTCAACAAAAAGAACTGATGAAATTTATACAAACAAAATCTAAATCATTATGTGAAAGACAGACAAGTGGACAAATTAACTAATTAGTTATAATGCAAAGTATTTTTAAATACATCCATCTGTGAAATCACATAAAAAATGTCTTTTAGTTTTTGATTAAAATGAAAAATATCTAAATAACTAAAATGTGAATAAACCTAATGTACAGTAATTTAAAAATACTTAAATTAATAGAAATAGAAATGCCAAAATTAACACTGCTAATTAGTTTCCAATGTAAACTTAATCTGTTTTAATCTAGTTAAATCTAATTTAATCTATGGACGCCCATTTCTGCCAGGAAAAGAAAAAAAAGATAAAAATCTAGACAGGATGAATATGAAAATAAGTCAAAACTTTGACTCATGTCACATTATTCTTAGATGGTAAATACAATTTTTACTTGTATCTCATAATTTTGACCTAATGTCTTATTAATTTATTAATGTTTTATTTTGATGTCCACGTTTTTATTTATCTATTTTTTCTGGTGGAAATGGGCCTCCATACTTATCTAATCTTGGTGTATTTTCTCTAGGAGAGAAAGGCTTCATGCCAATGCACAAATCAAGTGTTATAGGGCTCTTAGTGAAAAACATAAACAACTTGTGAGTCTGTGTGAGCATGTATCAGTCTCAGCATCTTGCACACTAAACTAGTAGCTGTTTTTTAAATTCATTACTTGTTAGTCGCACTACTGTGTGTATGTTGTCCGTTGGTGTTTGTTGCCTTTTTGTACGTGAATCTCCAATAATGTCAAACTGTCTCATTTGTATTATGGTGCTATCTAT